ACCCCTTGAGGCGCGTTCGCCATAGACTTTGCATGTAAACTGGCAGCTCCTGCCGCTCAAAACGCTCTCGGTGTGAACGAGCCATTCCACAGCTCTCTGGTCTTGGGCATTGTGGAGATGCTGGAGTCTGATTGATTGAGTGTGTGGACAGGTGTGTTTTATACAGGTAACGAGTTCAAACAGGTGCAGTTAATACAGGTAATGAGTGGAGAACAGGAGGGATTCTTAAAGAAGAACTAACATGTCTGTGAGAGCCAAAATTCTTACTGGTTGATAGATGATCAAATACTTATTTCACACAATAAAATGGAAATKAATTATTTAAAAATCATACATTGTGTATTTTTCTGGATTTTTGTTTTAGATTCCATCACTGACAGTTGAAGAGTACCTATGATAAAAATTAGTCATCTACAAGCTTTGCAAGTGGGAAAACCTGAAAATCAATAGTGTATCAAATGCTTGTTCTCCCCACTGTATGTACTGTAAAGTTCCTGTGTTTTTCCCCTTATGCTGCAAGTATGCATCACACAGACACACACACACACACACATGCGCTAGTTCTTCTATCCTCATGGGGACTTTGCATAAGATTTCCTGACCATGGAATGGACCCAAAATTTGTTTGTTCTCTGAACCACTTTGGTTTTACTTTAATCTCATGTCACTTTGCTTCTTTATGCTGAAAAAGATATTATTCACTACCAAACCTTTCTTGGATGGTGGGAGAATTTATTTGTTTTTTTGGAGGATGTTTAGGTACCGTTCTTTATTCATATCTGAGTTTGTTCCTCAACTCAGAGAAAGTTTTAAGTTTCGGTTTGAGCTGAGGAACTCAACAGCTGTTCCACTCACACATCATGTTGGACAAATTGAGAAAAAGTTATATATTTTTTAAAGACAACAGAGGGTTTCACATTTGTGATATTATTTATTTATTATTTGTTTCTACTCCAGGTTGACCACTTACATAACTTCATCTTCTTCCGCTTCTCCATGGGCTTTGTGGACAGCATTATTGCAAAGTGTAAGTTGAGAAAACACAAAATTGTTCGATCAGCCATTAGAAAAAGATAATGAAAATTACATCTGCAACATTTTTTCCTACATTGCTTCTTCAATGATAGAATTTTGTTGAACCTAAAAACATGATTTATTTTTTTTCTAATTTGCTAAATCCCTGTTCCTTTGCAGATGTGGCCACTGTGGTGGGATACCTGGTGGTTAGCCGGCCATTTCTCAATCAGTCTGACCCTCGGCACCTTCACAGCACACACTCTGAGCTGCTCGAGGTGAGAACAAGGCAACAACAGCTATAATGACCTGACTGATCTGGTGCTGTAGTTTAGATTTAGTTTGTCATTTGGCTGGAAACGTTTTGTAATCCTGTCAGCTTAAAGTTAGCACTGTCGCTCAACAGGAAGAACGTCCTGGGTTCAAGCTCAGAGTTGGGCTAGGGGTCTTTCATCTGGAATTTGCATTTTCTTTTTATGTTTGTGTGGGTTTTCTCCTGACAGACTAGTTTCCTCCCACAGTCCAAAAACATGCATGTATAGGTCGTCTTCAGGCCCCGGCCTCTTTTGAAAAAAGAGGTCTGTGATCTCGAGGGGATCTGCCTGGTTAATTAAATAAATAAATGTGTTTATGTAGCTGATGAAGGTATACAGTGAAGCCCTGATTTTCACAGGGGTTACGTTCTTCAAGTACCCCTGAATTGTGAAAAACACAAATATTGGATGCAATCCAGAAAAGGCCTATGGTGCGTTTGAGGTGACCTCGTAATAACACATGAGCTAAGGGTATATATATATATACGCACACACACGTTAGTATTATGTTACAAAATTTGTTAAATTTTTTCATAATAATTTGGCTTGAAAACTCACAAAAACACAAGAGAGAATAAAAAAACAGATGTTCTTTACTGTCCTGTATTTCAGTTTTTTGCAATATTACAGGTATTACTACAAACTACAAGTAATGAGTTTCCATGAAGAAATTCATGAAAGTCTGCATTTGCAATCAGTGAAGTGCAACTTTGTGGGACTTCACTGTGTAAACCTTATTCTGCATCATTATTTATAATTAGTAGTGACACCTTTATTTAAAATAATGTCTCACCTAAAGAACAAACAGATGTAAAATAGTTTGTAGTGATATTCCACAGTTTAATAACAGAATTATTTGTCTGGCTGCCAGGACTATTATCAGAGTGGCAGAATGCTCCTGAGGATGTCCCAGGCTCTGGGCAGGATCGTACTGGCTGGAAGAGAGATGACCCGTCTCTCTGGGTGAGTTGATCAGAATAATGTGAAAACTGCAACACAAACAAAAACAGTCTAATGTGAACGACTTTTACATGTTTTGGGAGAAAATTTAGTCTCTTCTTAGAGAAATGTTCACTTCTGACAGGAATCATTATTGTTGGTCTTTCACTTTTCCATCATAGAGAAAATCAGGTACCTCAGCTGTGATGAACTCTCCTGACTCTGAGTCAATTCAGACGAAAAAACAAACATTTTGCTATACAACAAAAAGTTTAAATGGTCACAAAATAAGTATTGTTTGCTGATTTGTCAAATGACGCCCCCCAGTGGCAGAAATGATCATTAACTGGACCTTAGAAAATACCTCGTTTTTCCTTTTATTAAGTAGCTTTATTTTGCTACATGTCTGTCACTCATGCTTGAACATTACAGTAGACTAATTAAATTATTAGGTGTCATGATAGCACTCTTCAAAGTGAGTTGACAAGTAGCTGCAAAAATGTTTATTTAGTGAAAATAATAAAATCAATTCAAAATACTATAGTATAAGTACAAGTAACCTCTGGCTTCTGTAAACCTGATTTTATTTGTTTGATGCAGTGATGTCTCGTATATACAAAAAAAATCTTCTTTGTGCTTGGATTGAAGCCATGGGTCCTCCCTTTTATTTTCCCTTTTCATTTAAAGAAGCAAACAAAAATGTGAACTGTTGGGGTTTTTTACATTTCCACTGAGCAAGATGAAGACTTGTTTTTTTTTTTTTTTAGCACACAACCACCACACTACAAGTTTTCCGTCATTTATTTTCTAACACATTGTTTCTAACCCTGGTCCTCAGGGCACACTGTCCTGCATGTTTTAGATGTTTCCCTGCTTCAACACAACTGTTTCCAATTGATAACTGATTAACAGGCTTTTGTTGAACTGCAATCATCTGAATCAGGTGTGTCAAAGCAGGGAAACTTGTAAAACATGCAGGAAGACCAGGGTTGGGGAAACACTGACAATAAATATACATAATGGACATAATGTTTTCAATTTCTGACAAAAACAGAAAATAAAAAGGTAGCTGTAAGTAATCGGTTCTTCTAGTATCTGAAAGTGAACTCAGATTTGTGTCTCTTAGATTCACAGCTCGAATTACCGAACTGATGTTGGTTCTGAAGGAACTGAATGCTGGTCGATATGAGCGGACCATGGTTTCCCAACAGGAGAAGGGTATGCAGAAAACCCAACATGAAATAGTTTTCATAAAAAAAACCCGAGCTTAAGCTGTGAAACTTTGTTGGTTTGTTCCGTTCACCTCAGAAACAGACACTGCAGAGAAAAACATCCTGGTACCTGGAAGTGGTCAAATTATTAACAGAGATAACATCATCAAGTAAGTTCCTTGTTGTAAACATGAATATAAATCAACTTACAGCGGGTAAAATAAGTATTGAACACGTCACCATTTTTCTCAGTAAATATATTACTAGAGGTGCTAATGACATGAAATTTTCACCAGATGTYKGTAACAACYCAARTGATCCATRCATACAAAGAAATCAAACCATAAATGTCCAGAAATGAAGTTATTTGTAATCATGTGGAATGGCACTGAGAAAAAGTATTGAACACACTTACTGAAATTTATCTAATACTTTGTACAAAAGCCTTTGTTGTCAATGACAGCTTCAAGACGCCTCCTGTATGGAGAAACTAGTGGCATGCATTGCTCAGGTGTGATTTTGGCCCATTCTTCCACACAAACAGTCTTCAAATCTTGAAGGTTTCGTGGACCTCTTCTATGAACTCTGATCTTTAGTTCTTTCCATAGATTTTCTGTTGGATTCAGGTCAGGTGATTGGCTGGGCCATTCCAGCAGCTTTAGTTTCTTTCTCTGAAACCAACTGAGAGTTTCCTTGGCTTTGTGTTTGGGCTCATTGTCTTGTTGAAATGTCCAGCCATGTTTCATCTTCATCATCCTGGTAGATGGAAGCAGATTTTTATCAAGAATGGCTCTGTACATTTTTCCATTCATCCTTCCTTCAATTATTTGAAGTTTGCCAGTACCATATGCTGAAAAACAGCCCCACACCATGATGTTCCCACCTCCAAACTTCACTGTTGGTATGGTGTTTTTGGGCTGATGTGCAGTGCCATTTGACCTCCAAACATGATGTGTATTCTGGCATCCAAACAGTTCAATGTTGGTCTCATTTGACCAGACTATATTCTCCCAGTATTTCACAGGCTTGTTTAAATGTTGTGCAGCAAACTTTAAATGAGCTTCAACATGCTGTTTCTTCAGCAGTAGAGTCTTGCGTGGTGAGCGTGCATACAGGCCATGGTGGTTCAGTGCATTACTTATTGTTTTCTTTGAAACAATCTTACCTGCTAATTCCAGGTCTTTCTGAAGCTCTCCAAAAGTGGTCCTTGGCTCTTGGACAACTCTTCTGATAATTCTTTTCACTCCTCTGTCAGAAATCATGTGAGGAGCACCTGGTCGTGGTCGGTTTATGGTGAAATGATGTTCTTTCCACTTCTGAATTATGGCCCCAACAGTGCTCACTGGAACCTTCAGAAGTTTAGACATTCTTCTGTAACCGATGCCATCATTATGCTTTGCAACAATAAGGTTGTGAAGGTCGTGAGAGAGCTCTTTACTTTTACCCATCATCAGATGTTTCTTGTGTGATACCTGGCCATCATTTGGGACTGAACCAGCTGATATTAACTTGCACTGACAAGGGGCAGGCTTGCTTTCTAATTACTGAGAGAGTTCAGCTGGTGTCTTGGCTTTCCACCTTTTTACACCTCCCTTTCTTCATGTGTTCAATACTTTTTCCCTGTGCCATTCCACATTATTACAAATAACTTCATTCATCTGTAAAATGTCTTCTGTCAAATGAATTTTCAGCTGTTTTCATTCCTTAGATTTGATCATACTCCACTAGCAACACCCAATGGAGACATTCTGATCCAAGACCTCACATTTGAGGTAACGTTTTACAATTTATTGCCCCATCTTGACCAGAAAAATTCAGTAAAGTTTTTTTTACCCCATGTTTGAAATGACACATTAATATTAGTTTTGTTGCAGACAGTGTTATTATTGACTTTGATTTAATAACATCTGTTGGTGTAGACTCTCAGGCATCTGGGTCATTATGGTCTCGGGTTCTTGAATAGAGGAAGTTTTATATCTCTTGACTTGGTGAGAGGAAAAATGTTTTCAACAAACAATAAATAAAGTTGGTTTACTTTCTGTTCAAACACCTAGGAGTTATTGAAATGTGGCCACCACCTGAAAAGTGTAAAACTGAGATTTCCACTTGGCAAACTAAAAACTCTGCATCAATTTAAGAAGTAAGGCAAGGAAGTTTGTTATCTGCTAAAGTATACTTTTTATTTTTTTCTTTAAATTTTATTTATTTGCTTTTACTAAAGTAACAACAACAAATACAAGTATGCAGGAAACTGTATACAGAATGTTCGTTCAACTGTTAGGAGTCATTTACATTAAATAATAATAATAATAATAATAATAATAATAATCAAACAACCAAATAAAAAAATTAATTATGTCACACATTATGTTTTGAGCGCCCAGAGATGTTTGGATCAGTAAGACTGTTTTCTGTCTCATTATTCAGAATAATTTTTATTTTTAAATCTTACTGAGAGAGAATAAGAAAAGAAAGAAAGGGAGACCTAAACAATAGAAGGATGTCTCAGGGAAATGTATATTTTCCATCTCTTCCAGCAGTGTTAAAGTATTTTCAAAGTACAGGTTTACTAAAACTTAATAATTAGATGTGGTACAAACTGAGATTCACCTCAAACTCTGAGCATGAAATCTTGCAATATTCTGATTTTACACACTTTTTAGGTTTGAACGAAACAATCATAAGTAAGACATGATAACTTCTTTTCCTCTTTGTATATTCCAGGTGAGGTCCGGCACCAATGTTCTTGTGTGCGGACCAAATGGATGTGGAAAGAGCTCGTTGTTCAGAGTGCTTGGTGAGGTAAGGGTTAACTACTCACASATTGTGCGTATGATCTCTGAGTCTCCTGCTTCAAGTAAAAACCACAATAGAGACCTGTTTCAGCAGTTTCTCTGTTCATTTGCTGCAAATGTGTGAAAAAATCTAATAATACCCGGAGAGAAACATGTTGATCAGATTATGCTAATAGTTTAAACCCGTTAGCTGCTGCACTCATCCAGCTACCAAATCCACACAAAAAGTTTCTGAGAARTAAAATGAAGTGCAGTTTTAAAAAAATACATTAGATTCAAATTTACTTCAGTTTACAAACATGTAAATAATGTTTCTGCATAAATATGTACATTTATTAACAAGAATTAAAAGTTAAAGCTTWTCTAAAAATTTCAACATACAATCAGATCATAATGAAGTTCTTATTGTTTGTTATGTAAAGAAAGCAAATGGAAGATTTACTCAATAAACTGTATTACTGAGCACAAATAGTAAAACTAAAGACTTTAGAGTAAAAAGGTATTCCCAGCTTTGTGGAAAAAATTAAAAATGAAATCTTTCTGAATTACAGATGTGGTGGTTTTGAATAGTTTTTTATTTATTTATTGTCATATTAAAGCTCTTAT